GGCAGGCAGGCAGGCAGGCAGGCAGGCAGGCAGGCAGGCAGCCCTCCAGGAAGGGCCACAGCCGAGCCCAATATCTCTCTTGCTAAGCCAGACAATGGTTAAGTGACTTTTGCCCATTTTACGACCTTTCTCTGCCCCAGTTCTCAAGTGAATCGCTGCGGTGGTTAAGTCAGGAATAGGTTGTTAAGTGAATCTGGCTTCCCCATGGACTCTGCTAGTCGGGTGGTTGCAAAAGGGGATCACGTAATCCGTCATAAATATGGGTCAGCTGCCAAGCCTTTCAGTTTTGATCAGATGACCCTGGGGATGCTGCAATGGTCATAAGTGTGAAAATTGGCCCTAAGTCACTTTTTCCAGTGCCGTTGTAACTTTGAACGTTCACTATGTGGATGTAAGACAAGGACTGCCTGTAATATAGAATGAAAACACACAACAGCGGAGCTAAAAAAAAAAATTAACCATCCTACCCCCTTCTAGCACTGATGATGTTCCCTAGTTGGGCCATGAAACGTCTGCAGGAAAACAATCAAGCTCAGAGAGCCCCAAGGACCCCACAGTCCTCCTCCTCCTCTTCCTCCTCCTCCTCCTCCTCTTCTTTCTCCTCCTCCTCTTCCTCCTCCTCTTCCTCCTCCCCCTAAACCCCTTTCCCTTCTAGCACTGATGATGTTCCCTAGTTGGGCCATGAAACGTCAGCAAGAACCAAGTCCAGAAAGCACCCAGGGATCCCTCATATGTACAACTATCATGTACCCCTCTGTTCCTGAAGAGCGTAAAGAGGGACGCATCCTTTGCCTGCACAGGCCCCTCTTGCTATTTTCTGGAGTGAACGTCTCCACGCCACGCGGAAGAAGCAGTGCCTGCAGCCGGCCTTAGTGATGGGCTTTGGGGCCCTGATCCCACCCAGAAGTCCCCAGAAGGAGGGTCCCCTTACGTTCACTTTCCTGTTCTTCAGCAGGGACACTTGGCTCCCGTGGACGGCCACGTGCACCGAGTGGACGTAAGACACGGCCCGGTTGGAGCCCCGGTGCTCATTGGTGGTGGAGACGTCAAAGGCCTCCAGGCCACGGGTGGAATTGGAGCAGGCTTTGGCCAAGGTGTAGGTGCAGTTGCCCATGAAGTGGTGGACCTGCCCGTCGAAGGTGGTGTAATGGGGGTCTCCTGAGGCAGTGCAGATTGAGGGGGCTGGGGGAAGGGGGGACAAAAGAAATAGCAATAGCAGTTAGACTTATATACCGCTTCATAGGGCTTTCTAAGCGGTTTACAGAGTCAGCATATTGACCCCAACAACAATCCGGGTCCTCATTTTACCCACCTCGGAAGGATGGAAGGCTGAGTCAACCCTG